AAGTTTGTGGTCTAGGTTACTCAGCACGTTCATACCTAGTGTCACGTCCATCCGTCTCCGGGACGAATGATCCACCAGCATGACCCCCTTCTTGCCGACGTCTTGCCCACACAGCCGGACCCGCATCCAGACTATTCCTCGGAAGTCCATCTCTCTGTTATTGGCAGCCGTCAACTTGATGACGCTCCCGTCTTCCGTCTCCATCATATGTCCAAAGTGTCTTTCGAAGAACTCCAGAGGCATAAGGGTGCACTCCGACCCTGTATCAACTAGGCAGCGTACCTTCTGGCCTTCCAACTTGGCTTCCATAATGGGGCTGCTGGCATACAGGTCGTGTTCCTCATGCTTAGAGCTTAGCTTCTGGTGTACCGCCACCGGACGCCCAGCTCCTGCGCGGTCGGAAGTTTAACGTCGGCTCAGACTTCATCTGTTCTGGGCACTCTCTGGCCATGTGGCCGTACTGTCGACAAGCCCAACAGAGGGGTCCCCTTTTGAGATGCCCCTGCAGCTGAGTTATCCTGAGTGGAGTGGCACGAGGTGCTGAGGTCATTTCCGGAGACCGGGGAGATTCTGCCTTCATCTAGGACACTTCCAGCCGAGGTTCTCTTAATTCTGTCCGCAGGGCCTGGACCACATCTTTTAAGGATTCTGAGTCTTCAGATGCAGACTGACCTTTTGTAGCATGGGTACTACTCACTATTCTCGCCGCCACAGGTATGCACTCCTCCTCTCTCTCCACGGCGGCTAAGTAGATGCTGTAGAATGCCATGTTGGGAGCCGCCCGGGTCATCTCTTACAATTTGTCCTGTAAGAACTTGTTGGAGAGCCCCACTATGAACTGGTCTCGTAGTAGCCGGTCCACCTCCTGGAAAGCTCCCATGGCCTCTGGATCTCGCCACTGTATTTTATTTAGCGTCTCCTGTAGGATATTGGAGTACTACATCAGGGTCTCGCCCTCTTGCTGTGGTCGATTGAAGAAGTGACTCCGCAGCTGCACTACTTTAGCATGCTCCCCTTGGGCTCTCTCCAGCAGGGAGAATATTTTCTCTAGGGTGCCTCTATGAGATTCGGGCCGTACCATCACTGTCCGTCTGACGTCACCCTCTAGAGCCCCCAATGCAACCTCTGCCCGCAGCTCGGAAGTCAGGTTACACATTCTAACCGCACTTCGCACTCTTTCGGTCCAGTCCTGCAACGTCTTATTTTTACCGTCAAATTTTGGCAGGTGACTCAACAGCGCCCCCATGGGAATGTACCCTACTGGTACGGGCAGTGCGGGGGCAAGCTGTATCAGCGGTGTTGGGACAACTTTGTCTTGCACCGGCGCACCCTGAGCTGGGTCCTGGACCGGTGCCATTGGCGCCGGGGAAGATCTCTGCCGACTACGCCAAGTTGTAAGCCGTGTACCAGGGTGGGCTCCCCAGGATACAGTGAAGTCACGAACGAGGAAAGCAACCCCAACACCAGCTTTTGCCACAACAGAATTTTACTTAGATGTGGCAAGTAAGCACAACCACAAATGCTGGGAACATACAATAAATTTACATACACCCAGCCCAAAGGCTGAGACAGTTGTGCTGCACAGCACGGCGCCTCCTGATGGAAGAAGGTAGAAAGTGTAGTAATTTACCTACTGGCGGGCACAATTAAGCTGCCACACCTTACCCGTTATTACCCTAAGAGAGCAGGAATCAGTGTATGGGTGTACGGAATGGGCTAGCCTGCGGTGCAGAACAACAGCTTACAATCTTTCACAAATCTACAGTATTCCCCCTCCCATAACTGGTCCTGTAGCACGTGCCTGAGTATTCTTTCTGAGCAAAACGCCAGTCTGGCTTGAGTTTGTAGGATTTTTATCAGCTCTCCAATGTGAAATGTCACTTTAAGTTGTGGAGTCCTTCTAATAATCGGTAACAACACTTGTGGCCTGACACAAACAGAGACCCTAACTAACTAACTATAGGCCTGGACTCAGTCTATAGGCGCCAACACTGAAATGAGGTGCGTGCACGATCTTACCGACCGGGGTCTGCTTTGTATTCGCTGGTGACTCTGAACAGAACAAATGTCTCTCCAACAAGCTTGCGATATTGCAGTGTATGCTGCGTTGTTCCTCTGCTCTCATTATAATTACTGTCAGCAATCTTCATTTCTCTGAACAGGATCAGGGTCTTGGACACGATCAGCTTCACTTAGCCGCAGCTCTGGTTACCAAGGGAAGCTCCCACACCTGGATGTCATCGGATTCTTAGCTCACACGGCCCCTTCATTCAGCACCGTTCAAAACATGGCTGCAGTCTCCTCTTCCTGTTCACTCCAACTCTGTGTGAAAACTGCACCTCTTCATGAATATACAAATATCTATGCAGTCTGAGGCTGTGTTAGAAAAACAGTGACATCTTGTGGCTAAACCGCAGAATGTCAGTCAAAACATTAATTTACTTCCACACAGTCAGTGTTCAAACAATGAGAGCTGTTTCCCCATCTCACAGCTAAACGCAGCAAACCTGCAGGAAAGCTGCAGATACACTGCCCTGCACCCATGGTGTGGGTAAACTGCAGCACATCAGTGCAAAAACAGATCTATACTATTATGCCCAGTGTATTGCTTCACACACTGGCTTGAAGATCTAAGATCTTTCCTTTCCTACTGCTTCCACTTCTTTGGAGACTCAGCAAGGTACAGAAGCCAGCACTACAGAGGAGGCATCAGCTTATGTGGCTCTTGCTCTCTACTACAGTTCCAGCTTTTCTAGTAGTCCCTCCACATTGCACTCTGTTTGATGTTCAGCAAGCCCAGACCATGATCTACCAGTTAGCTAGCCACAATCTACTGGTTGATCGCGATCTACAGACTGCCCCCCCGTAAAAAGGCAAATCAATGTAACTCACCACTTCCTGGAAGGTGGCTAATCAAGTCCCAATGACTTGACCATGAGCAGCTCCCAGCTCTCAGGTCCCAGATCCTCACACAGGTGGCAGTCTCTCAGCTGGGACCCTGAAGAAGCGGTGATTCTCTCTCAACTTAGTCTCTTAAGGCAGCTCCAGCAGGCACAGGTGCAAGTCATCCCCTCTCCTTGATGTGGGGGACAGACACAGTAAGAGGTCCTCTTAGCTCCTCTATAATGGATGAGGTCCCTCAGTTATGAGGCACAGACCCTGTCAGCAGGTCCGTCCTTGTCACTCTCTTCCCTGCACCAGGATAAATATCTATTTGCCCTTTAAAACAGTGAAGCCTCTCCTCCAGGTGCAAAGATTTGTGGGAATGAAGTCCAGTAGTCTCATTCGCAAGTGTGGTGTTGTTCCCTTTTAAAAATTAAAATTTTCATCATCCATGGTGCCTGCACAGTGAGTCCTTACTGATGCTCCTATTGGCTCTGACTCTCCCACCATCTGATAAGATCTGATCTGTACTACCAGAAGGGAGGGGGAGAACAGAAAGTGAGCAGAAACATACAGAGTCATTTTGCAGCAGGGGTGTACCTATAGGGGTCTCAATTGTAACCTGGACCCATGCTGCAGGGAACCCGTGCGTCCCTCCTGTACGCTTGGATAGAAGGAACAGCAGGGGCGGCTGCATATAGAGGAATTGATCTCTCCATGGTCCTCCTGCAGCTGCTGAATGCGTGCAGGAGGGAGAGGAGGAGAAGCGGGCATTCAGAGGCTGCAGTAGTAACATGGAGAGGTTGATTCCTCTGTATGCAGCCACCCCCCATGCTCCTCCTATCCAGCTCCTTTCTGCTGCCCCCCATGCTCTCCAGCGCCCCTGTGCTCTCTGGTGGCCCTCCTGTGTTCAAGCTCCTTTCTCTGTCTCAAAAGTGAAACATCAGAGGTCTCTTTAGACCTCTGATATATTACAAAATTCCACCAATAACGCTCCAAAAATATTGTAAAAAAAATAAAATAAAAATAATATTGTAAAAAAAAAAGAAAAAAAAAACAAAACACCAGTGGCTGACCTACTAGAGTTACAAAGGTCACACTTGCACTCTACCCTAGCTTTCTTCCACAGGGCTTGGAGGGAAGGGCCTTGGCCAGGGATCAGGGTGGCCCTTCATGGTTTCTTGCATCGGGGCCCTGAAGGTTCTAGTTGCACCACTGCTTTGCATGCAGATCCCAAGTGGGAAATGAGTGGGGGTTGAGTCTGCACAGACCTGCTCTGTTTGCAGCTCCCAGACATCAACATCAATTGACTGTAGAATGCAGAATGTAGAAGTAATCCCTGGAATTATCAGGAGGTTGTAATGATCAGCAGAAAGGGCAGAACAGCTTAAAGTAATCACATACACACTATATTGCCAAAGGTATTGGGATGCCTGCCTTTACATGCACATGAACTGTAATGGAATCCCTGTCTTAGTCCTTAGGGTTCAATATTGAGTTGCTTCAACTCTTCTGGGAAGGCTGTCTACAAGGTTTAGGAGTGTGTCTATGGGAATATTTGACCATTCTTCAGAAGCGCATTTGTGAGGTCAAGCACTGATGTCGGACAAGAAGGCCTGGCTCACAGTCTCCGCTCTAATTCATCCCAAAGGTATTCCATTGGGTTGAGATCAGGACTTTGTGCAGGCCAGTCATGTTCCTCCACCCCAAATCCATGCTAATCCATGTATTTATGGACCTTGTTTTATGCAATGGTGCTCAGCCATGTTGGAATAGGAAGGGGCCATCCCCAAACTGTTCCCACAAAGTTACGAGCATAAAATTGTCAAAAATTTCTTGATATGCTGAATCCTCAAGGGTTCCCTTCACCAAGGTCAACCCCTGAAAAACAACCCCACACCATAATCCCCCCTCCACCAAACTTTACACCTGACACAATGCAGTCAGGCAAGTACCATTCTCCTGGAAACTGCCAAACCCAGACACGTCAAGCATGATTCGTCACTCCAGAGAACACGTCTCCACTGCTCTAGAGTCTGGTCGTGTTGTGCTTTACACCACTGCATCTGATGGTTTGCATTGCACTTGGTGATGTAAGGCTTCGATGCAGCTGCTCGGCCATGGAAACCCATTCCATGAAGCTCTCTATGCACTGTTGTGCTAATCTGAAGGCCACATGAAGTTTGGAGGTCTTTAGCTATTGACTTTGCAAACAGTTGACGACTATGTGCTTCTGCATGTGCTGACCCCACTCTGTCATTTTATGTGGCCTACTACTTTGTGGGTAAGTTGCTGTTGTTCCCAGTTGCTTCCACTTTGTTATAATACCATTAACACTTGACCGTGGAATATTTAGTAGCAAGGAAATTTCACGGATGGACTTATTGCACAGGTGGCAACCTATTATGGTACCATGCTTGAATTCACTGAGCTCCTGAGAGCAACCCATTCTTTCACAAATTTTTGTAGAAGTAGTCTGCATGCTTAGGTGCTTGATTTTACACACCTGTGGCCATGGAGGTGATTAGAACACCTGAATCCAATGATTTGAAGGGGTGTCCCAATACGTTTGGCAATATAGTGTATGAGAGGAGAGCTGGCATTACATCCGCAGCCCTCTCTCTCTCTCACACACACTTACAAATATAAAAACCAAAACTTGCAAAACATCAGTCCACATCCAGCTCAAAGCTCTGCTAGTGAGATGGTGGTGGTATAACCTCTCGGACACGAGCCTGGGAAGTTATGCCACCACCATCTCGCTAGCAGAGAGGTGAGCTGGATGTGGACTGATTTTATGCAAGTTTTGATTTTTATATCTGTAAGTGTGATTTTAGTGGGGAAACAATAAAGTGTTATACGGAGAACACTATGTGTTGGCCCTTTTATTTCATGAGACCATCCCTGATGGAGAACTGAGCAAAAGAAGGGTGAGAGGAGTAAATTGGAAGTTGCTGTGAATATCCAGATGAGCGCAAATTACTTAATTTTGGGGGTGAGCAGGTCTTTCACCTGGTGTGGTGGTGCATCAAACAGTGAAAAGAAGAGGATACTCACAGTGTCACTTATAAACACCAATAGGTGTATTGTATGGACTTTGTGTCGATAGGATGTTTATGCACACGATTGTTAATCACTAGTCACTAGAGATGAGCGAATCGAACATGGCGAAGTGGAATTCGTTTCGAAGATTAGGAAATATTCAATTCGCGCCGAATCCGAAAAATTAGCAAACTTCGGATGCACGAATCGAATTTTCCCAAAAACGGCGGCGACATGTGTGGCGACGGAGCGGGGATCTCTGGGAAGGCGTGCAGACAAGGCGCGCTGACCCATAATGCATTCATTCATGACATGTGATCGCATTAGCCAATCAGCAGCCAGCCAGCCAGCACTGTGTAATGGTGGAGCTATAAATCGCGGCCATCTTAGAATTCTCCATTAGCCTCCGGTCATTCAAGAGAGACAGACCTCTGTGTATTAGGGACAGAGTTAGGGCCAAAGAGACTTTAGGGCCACAGAATCGTTACTTAGGGACACAGAATCGTTACTTAGGGACACAGAATCGTTACTCAGGGACACAGAATTGTTACTCAGGGACACAGAATTGTTACTGAGGGACAATGAATCGTTACTGAGGGACACAGAATTGTTACTCAGGGACACAAAATTGTTACTCAGGGACACAGAATTGTTACTCAGGGACAAAGAATTGTTACTCAGGGACAGACACAGAATTGTTACTCAGGGACACAGAATTGTTACTCAGGGACACAGAATCGTTACTCAGGGACACAGAATTGTTACTCAGGGACACAGAATTGTTACTCAGGGACACAGAATTGTTACTGAGGGACACAGAATCGTTACTGAGGGACACAGAATTGTTACTCAGGGACACAGAATTGTTACTCAGGGACACAGAATTGTTTACTGAGGGACACAGAATCGTTACTCAGGGACACAGAATCGTTACTCAGGGACACAGAATTGTTACTCAGGGACACAGAATTGTTACTGAGGGACACAGAATTGTTACTCAGGGACACAGAATCGTTACTCAGGGACACAGAATTGTTACTGAGGGACACAGAATCGTTACTGAGGGACACAGAATCGTTACTCAGGGACACAGAATTGTTACTCGGGGACACAGAATTGTTACTCAGGGACACAATTGTTACTCAGGGACAGACACAGAATTGTTACTCAGGGACACAGAATTGTTACTCAGGGACACAGAATTGTTACTGAGGGACACAGAATCGTTACTGAGGGACACAGAATTGTTACTCAGGGACACAGAATTGTTACTCAGGGACACAGAATTGTTACTCAGGGACAGACACAAAATTGTTACTCAGGGACACAGAATTGTTACTCAGGACACAGAATTGTTACTGAGGGACACAGAATCGTTACTCAGGGACACAGAATTGTTACTCAGGGACACAGAATTGTTACTCAGGGACAGACACAGAATTGTTACTCAGGGACACAGAATTGTTACTCAGGGACACAGAATCGTTACTGAGGGACACAGAATCGTTACTGAGGGACACAGAATTGTTACTCAGGACACAGAATTGTTACTCAGGGACACAGAATCGTTACTGAGGGACACAGAATCGTTACTGAGGGACACAGAATCGTTACTCAGGGACACAGAATCGTTACTCAGGGACACAGAATTGTTACTCAGGGACACAGAATTGTTACTGAGGGACACAGAATTGTTACTGAGGGACACAGAATCGTTACTCAGGGACACAGAATTGTTACTCAGGGACACAGAATTGTTACTCAGGGACACAGAATCGTTATTGAGGGACACAGAATCGTTACTCAGGGACACAGAATTGTTACTGAGGGACACAGAATTGTTACTGAGGGACACAGAATCGTTACTCAGGGACACAGAATCGTTACTCAGGGACACAGAATTGTTACTCAGGGACACAGAATCGTTACTGAGGGACACAGAATTGTTACTGAGGGACACAGAATTGTTACTGAGGGACACAGAATTGTTACTCAGGGACACAGAATCGTTACTCAGGGACACAGAATTGTTACTCAGGGACACAGAATCGTTACTCAGGGACACAGAATTGTTACTCAGGGACACAGAATTGTTACTCAGGGACACAGAATCGTTACTCAGGGACACAGAATCGTTGAATTACAGAGTATGTCAGACAACATGCAGAGGAGTGGCAGAGGAGGCAATGTTTCAGGAGCGAGCAGACGTGGCAGCAGAGGATGGGGTCGAGGCAGCACTAGTCGCAGCCAGAGGCCAGTGCTCCCGGTGTTCATCCAGCGGTCGTGTCTCCACCGACAACCCTGCCGTCATCGATTGGTTGGCTCGGTCGTCTTCCTCTTCCCAGGTCACCTCTGACACCTACAGCCAACGGTCGGTGGGTACGTCAGACACAACCGTTAGTTGGCATGGCCCGGGAGCAAGCCCACTGAAATCACGTGTCCTCTACCTGCCCCTGTCCTTTGGTGTTCCCTCACCAAGCGAAGTATCGCATGCTGTGGGCTCAGCCCCACTGTACAGTGAGGAAGAGCTAACAGAGGGCGGTCAGGAACGGGGGGAGACATCCGCCTCTTCAGCAGCCAGGCAAAGAAGTACTGGCGAGGAGAGTGGCTCGGTAGCCGGTCTAGAGACAGGTCTGTCTCCTGACCCACACGCAGCCGAGGGGGCTAGTAGTGAGGCGGAGACCCTAATTGATGATGATGAGGCTGATCGCACTTGGCAGCCTCGTCGTCATCAGGCTATTGCTTCCGCATCATCAGGAGAAGAGGGTGGCAGCTTGGCAGCGAGCAAAACAGTCGGTGGGTTGCCCAGGAGGCAGCAGGGTCGCAGCAGTGTCAGTGGAGGCAAACGGCCACGGAGTAGAGCACCAGCTCCACTGCAGCCTACCACCACGGCCAGTAGTGGTGCCGGTGTGCACGGAGGAAGTAGCAGTCAGCCAGTGAGGAGTAGCGGGGCAAAGTTTCCTACTCGGCGGTGTGGCAATTTTTCGTCAAGCCGCCCGAGGAAGTAAACGTAGCCGTATGTCGACTATGTGGCCAGAAAGTCAAGCGTGGCCAGGGGGCCCATGTGGGGACTACAGCGTTGCGTCAGCATATGCAGCGTCGCCATTCGGTGGCCTGGGAAAACCGTGATAAAGATACGGCGGTTCTGCCTGCCCCAGCCCCCGCTCCATCACCCGCTCCGTTACTTGCTCCGTCACCCGACGTCAATCGCCCTCTATCAGCCAGTCAAGGCTCCAACACCTCTGCTGAGGTGAGTTGTCGCTCGTTGGCATCTTCCGCTCGTTCAGATGCTCCTTCTCCTGCTACTCCCTCTTCACGGATTCCGTCAGCAGTCTTTCTTGGAATCCGTTTCCAAGAGACAACAGTTTGCGAGCACGCACCCGACGGTGCAGAAGCTGAACGTCCTCCTGTCCAAGTTGCTGGTGCTGCAGTCCCTCCCTTTCCAAGTGGTGGACTCAGCACCTTTCTGAGAAATGATGGCTTGTGCCGCGCCGCGATGGAGAGTGCCAAGCCGGCATTTCTTCGCCAAAAAGGCAGTGCCAGCCCTGCATTCACATGTAGAAGAGATGGTGGGCCAGTCTTTGAGCATGTCGGTCTCTGCCAAAGTGCACGGCAGCGCCGACGTATGGAGCTGTAACTACGGTCAGGGACAGTACATGTCATTTACGGCCCACTGGGTGAACGTGGTGCCAGCACAGCCGCACCAGCAACTTGGACAGGTCACGCCGCTTTTGCCTCCACGTTTGCACGTCTTTGGTCCAGCAAAGATGTCCGCCTCTACCACCTCTTCTTCCGCCGTGTCCTCAGCCGCCCCCCCAGTGCCAAGTCCCATTACCCAACCGGCATATCACATGTGCAGGGCGCAACGGTGTCACGCTGTGCTGCACCTGGTATGCCTTGGTGAACGTAGTCACACAGGGGAGGAACTTCTGAGTGTAATGAACAGAGAAATCGACAGATGGCTGTCTCCGCGCAAACTGAAAGTCGGAACCATGTTGACCGACAACGGAAAGAACATGGTGTCTGCTCTGCGTCAAGGAAGGTTGTGCCATGCGCCATGCATGGCTCACGTGTTCAATCTGGTTGTCAAGCGGTTCCTAAAATCCACCATCCCACTGCAAGACATCCTTAAAATGTCACGTAAACTTTGCATGCATTTCAGCCATTCCTACACCGCAAAGCACACCCTCCTTGAGCTGCAGCGGCAGAACGGAATTCCACAGCATCGCCTGATCTGCGACGTTGCAACAAGGTGGAATTCAAATCCCCTACATATGTTTAGACCGCCTTTACGAACAGCGAAAGGCCATCACCGATTTCCTGATGTTACAAGCGGATAAAGGTACTCCCCTGTGTAACTTAGATGTCAGCCATTGGCAGCTCATGCGCGACACCTGCCGCTTGCTCAGGCCCTTTGAGGAGGCCACGCTATTCGTGAGT